GGTAAGCCTGTCCAATCTCCACAAAGCATCGGCAGACATGGCTGCACCATCGCTGGTCTGAGCTACCACACCTGGCTGAACCGCTCCAACTGGCTGAGCTGCTAGAGTCTGAAACTGGGGAGCTACCTGCTCCGGAGTGCGGGTAGCAGGAGTCTGGGCCCCTCCTCCAGCCTGAGAGACGGCTGGTGCTACAGGAAGTAGACCTGCCCTGGTGACACTCTCCATGAGGCCCACTAGACGGACCAGAGCGTCCTGAAGAACTGGGGTGGCAATAAACCCCTCTGGGACCTGAGCTGGGCCCACCGGAACTGCTAGGGTCGAAACCTCCTCGTCAAAATCAACCTGAGGCTCCGCCACTGGTGCTGCTGCTCGGGGCTGAGCTCTGCCCCTACGTCGGCCTCTAGCACGGCCTCGGCCTCGCCCTCTGCCCCTCGTGGGAGCTGCTGTTGGGGGCTCGGGCTGCTGAGCGGTAGATGAGGAAGCGCGTGTTCTCGCCATCTGCGAATGAACAGAGTAGAAATTCAATTAGCTTTGAGAAACCAAACCGCACGACAAGAAAGAACAAATGTGAAACTTTTCCTAACTCTGTAGCCTCTGGGGGATAAATACAGACGTCTCCGTACCGATCCCTCAGACTCTACTAAGCTTGTCCGTGAATTGTGAGACCTATGTAACCTAGAGCTCTGATACCAACTTGTCACGACCCGGAATTCCCACCCTCACGGGTCGTGATGGCTCCTACTCGTAGAAGCTAGGCAAGCCACAAATCATAAACTCCTAACTCCTTTATTTTAAAACCTTTTTATCATTCATAACAACAAGCGAATAATATTTAAATAACTGCGGAATATGAAATTAAAGCGGAAGACATAAATTAATTAAGCTGAACAAAATGCGGAAACCGACATGTGTCTCTACCCAAGAACTGATGTCACAACATCCACGGACTACTAAGAGTGCTACATATAACCGTTTGAAAGAAATATAACATTGTTTGTCTCGAATACATGAGATAACAGATTGAAATAAAAGATAGAGGAGACGCCGGGCCTGCGGACGTGTGCAAGGCTACCTCGGAGTCTCGGTGGACTGAAGGCTGGCTCCCGAGCTACTGCTGCTGTCCGGTACCTGGATATGTGCAAAAGAGCACAGAGTGTAGTATCAGCACAACCGACCCCATGTGCTGGTAAGTGCCTAACCTAACCCCGGCGAAGTAGTGACGAGGCTAGACAGGACTACCACATAAACCTGTACAGTTATATATATATCTACAACGGGAAAATAATAAGAACAAACATTTTAAATGGGAGGGGAACATGCTTCGGGGATAGAAGATAATACAGAATTTCAAGAAAATATTAAAGAACATCAATAATTTAACTCGTGGTAGGCGTACCACCCGCTCCCATTTCAATCAATAACTTGTGGTAGGTGTACCACCCGCTCCCATTTCAATCAATAACTTGTGGTAGGCGTACCACCCGCTCCCATTTCAATCAATAACTTGTGGTAGGCGTACCACCCGCTCCCATTTCAATCAATAACTTGTGATAGGTGTACCACCCGCTCCCATTTCAAGTCAACACAAAGTCACAATAAAATTTCCGGCAAGGAAACAAAATCAATATAATAATAATTTCCCGGCAAGGGAACAACAATATCAAAACAACCATCCAGGCAAGGGAGAATCAGCTATATCCAGATCCTATCTCAACTCTTACTCAGCTCGATTAATACCAGTACTCAAGCATAAATAAAGTCCACGAGAATAAACTAAATCTTTACTCAATATCAAGAGTTATCAATTTAAAACATCCGAAGTGTCATTTAAGAACACAACAACTATCAATTTAAGACTCACGGTCATGCTCGACACCAACGTATAGATACTCGTCACCATGCCTATATGTCGTACTCAACAAGAAGCAAATAGCAAATAAGACTCAACTCCTAATCCCTTAAGCTAGGGTTAGACCAAACACTTACCTCGATGCCTTGAACGCAACTCAAGTCTCAATTATAGCTTTACCCCTTGATTCCACCACCAATCCTCTCGAATATAGTCAAAGTTACTTAATTACATCAATAAGTGCTAAATGAATCAACCCCAATGCATGAAAATGAGTTTTCCAAAGTTTTACCCAAAAAGTCAAAAATCGCCCCCGGGCCCACGTGGTCAAAACCCAAGGTTCGAACCAAAACCCGATTACCCATTCCCCCACAAACTCAAATATATAATTTGTTTTGAAATCGGATCTCAAATCGAGGTCCAAACCCCCAATTTTTGAAAAATCTAGGTTCTACCCAAAACACCTAATTTTCCCCATGAAAATCTTTGATTTTAGGTTGAAATCATGTTAAAAGATGTTAATGATTGAAAAAAATGAGTAAAAACTAACTTACAATTGATTTGGAAGAAGGCTTGTTCTTGGAAAATCGCCTAAGTGTGTTTGGGTTTGAGAAAATATGAAAAATGAAGCTCAAAATCGTTTAAGTGTAAAATTGCAGGTCTCAATTATGGGAATTGCGAACAAGGGTTCGCAATTGCGAACCCCGACCTCTGTAGATATGGGAACTGCGAAACAGGGTTCGCACCTTCAGAAGTCCCAAAGTTTCGCATTTGCGAAACAAAAGTCGCATTTGCGACTTCGCAATTGCGAAGAAGAGATCGCATTTGCGATCACAGAGGATTTAGGCGGGCATCGCATTTGCGATGCATGGCTCGCATTTGCGAGACTGGCTTTGCAAATGCGAAGCCTGCAGATCAGAACACACCAGCTATTTTTCAAAGTCTAAAAAAGCACCCGTGGCCTATCCAAAACTCACCCGAGCCCTCGGGGCTCCAAACCTAATATACACACAACCTCAAGAACATCCTACGGATTTATTCGTGCGATCAAATCGCCAAAATAACATCATAAACATCGAATTAAACCTCAAAATCCATGAATTCTTTCAAACTTCATAAAACATCAAATTTTCCAATTTAGGTCCGAATCACATCAAACGACGTCCGTTTTCAACCAAATTTCACAGGAATGACTTAAACCATATATAAGACTTGTACCGGACGCCGGAACCAAAATACGGGCCCGATACCAACACGTTCTAATCAAATCTCACTTCAAATTTCCTTAAACAATTTCAGAAAAGAATTTTACAAATTTTTTTTATTTCTCGGACTTGGGACCTCGGAATTCGATTCCGAGCATACGCCCAAGTCCCATATTTTCCTACGGACCCTCCGGGACCGTCAAATCACGGGTCCGGGTCCGTTTATCCAAAACTTTGACCAAGGTCAAATTTATTCATTTTAACACCAAAACTTAGCATTTTTCACAGAATTTCATATTTAAGCTTTCCGGCTACGAGCCCGGACTGGCACGCAAATCGAGGCGACTATAAATGAGGTTTTCAAGGCCTCGGAGACACAGAATTCAATTAAAAACAGGTGATGACCCTTTGGGTCGCCACAATCAAGTAGTCTATCTACGGAATTATACGTTTAAAAATCACCTATGTATGTGTGAAGTGTAAGCCGCTTCAAGAAAAATTTAGTAAGGCCAGTTTTCTATACACTTATGAACCAGGCGGTGTTTATGGCTAAAATGAACACAACCATGAGAATTAAAGACGGTTAAGGATTGATCGTGTGACTTATGGTTGTCTAGGTATACACCAAAGCTCGATGGTTAAAAGATAACAAATCTACGGATTGACTGAGTATATCCGATATAATTTCACTAGGGAAATTTCAAAGGAAACCTATTTATCCCGATGCGAATAATCCTTACTTGCGAATCACACAATTTTTATGTATGTTTTCATCATATAGCCATTCTCCATTCATGTGGGAGATTATTGGATTTTTCTTAAAGGGCGTGAATGGAAAATGGAACAGGCACCTCTTGTATTGCACCTCTTCATCTCATCCTTTCATTGTCTATAAATTTAGAGGCTCTGCCTCATTTTTCTGACATGGAAAATCTGAAAGCTTCTTCCCCCTTTTCTACGTTATTGCATTATTTTCCAAATATATAGAAGTGTCAAGTGTGATTTGCTCTGTTTGTTGAGTTCGTTGAAGTTCTGTGATTTGTAGTGCCGCCATCACAGAATAGTTATTCTGTTCTATTCTGGGAGGAATCAATCCTTATCCTTGAAAAACAATGAGGGGATTAAATTCCTTGAGGACAGACAAGCAACTGGTGGATTCAGAATTATTTATTAAACTAACGCTTTTTTTTGACTCGCTCCGAGCTAGACTTGACCCGCTATTGTTTATATTCATTTTATATTTTTAGGTCTCATTAAAACTTGTGGTCATGTGTCCTTGACTGATTTGTTGGGGCTTTCTTTATGAGTAGTATTTTTTGTTAAGTTGTGTTAATGTGTTAACAGTATTTGACAGTTCGATAATAAAGATTATCTGTTTTTGCTCTCTACTAATTTGAGGAAGATCAAGCCTTTGGAGAAGATTATTAATATGATATGATTCAGAGCACCTTTGATCTTTTATTCGTTTTCTTATTAATGCTACCACAGATTGCAAGTTTCAATTTTCAGATGCATTTATTTGTTGGTTTTAATTTTTTAATTTTAATTATTTATATTGAACTTATCCAGTTAATAGTACTGTTTCATTTATCTTAACAATACTCTTTTTATCTTGTATATCGGAGAAATATCTTTACAGTGTCCAATTGATGTCTTTTGCTCATTATAATTGCCACAAATTCACCAGATAATAGAAATTTTTTATTTGATTAAATGACGGTGAATTTTTGCTCATGTCAAATGATCTTTTAAATATTGTATTACATTACCTTTTTAATGAGACTAAAAAAATAAATTTGGTATAAAGGATACAAAATTAATTGGGGCCTTATTCTACTTCTACTATATAATAAGTGCGACGAAGGGCATTTTCGTCAATTCAATCTTCTTTATGAGTAAATTAGGTGTTCCCTCTACGTTCATTCTTATACAGAGCGTATGTTTTCAGTTACCACCTCCGTTTTCTTCTTGATATCTATCTCTCACTCCGTATTTTGTTTCCTTCTCTCCTGTAATTGTCCATCGCTTCTGGGTATCATTTTACCATTTGTGGTTCTAATTTTCATTCGTTACTTTTGGTAAGTTTTTTCCTTTCTTGCACTGATTTCTGCCCATGACTTTGGAATTCCTTTGAAAGTTTTTCCATTTTTGCTTCAATTTTAGTTTTCTTACTCTGTCGCATAATTTTTTGTTAGATTTTTTTTACATGCATGTCAGTAATTTTTTAGGAACTAATTACTATCTGCAAATTGAAATATTTAGGCAAAAATTTGTAATATTAAGCTTTCTGTTGGAAGATTTGGTTCTTTGCTACAGTAGCAAAGATTTAGTTATTGACAATGTCGGTTTATTTGTAAGAGTAATTTCATGGTGCTCTATATTTGTAAATCTCGATTATTTATAGTTAGTCACACTTTCTATCTGAATATTTTTACTTTTTACTCTTCTTTTACTTTGTTCTTTGGGTTATTTTCATTCTTTACTCAGGGCTATGGAATTTAAACTACGCAGACTAATGAATCCAAGGTGTTCGGTGATATGCCTGAAATAACTAACTATTTAGTAAGAATTTCTTGCCTTTCCCTTTTTGTTATTTTCGAATAATTTAAGATTGCCTTCAACTATGCAAACTTTTACATTTTTGTGAAATGGGAAAAGTTTTGCATGAACTTTTGTACAAATGTAGAAACACTTATAGAAGGCTTGAAGCAAGAGTAGACTTTTGTATTTTACTTGTTAGTTCAATTAAATATGTTGCTATTGGTGAAGAAAATTGGCCATGGTATTAAATTAGAGATGGTCAATAATTATGTTTTAAATATTTAGCTTTAAAAAAGTAAAAAGGTGTAGTGAGTGACCTTGTAGGTAAGATGACAAAAATAGAGAACTTTTGTGATACAAAAAAAAGTGACTTTCATAAACAATTATCTTTAGTTGGGTGATTTTTTGAGTAATAAACTGTGATGTCCAATAGGTCATTTTCAGTTTTAACCTTCATTTTAGTGTTTCGAAACCTCAAATAGCTCTGTTTAGTCTTCATGAATTTGCGTGCACAGTCCATATCTTTTTTCGGAAGGTTTTTATATGAAAAATTAATTAAAATATGAAATCGTGCTTTAAAACTCATTTGAGTTGACTTCGATCAACGTTTTGAACAAACGGACCCGGATTAGTATTTTGACGGTCCCGGTAGATTCGTATCGTGATTTGAGACTTGGGAGTATGCCTGGAATCGACTTCGAAAGTCCCTAGCTTAAATTATCGTAATTTGTTGAAAACTAGAAATTTAAAGATTTAAAGAAATTTCAAGTTTGACCGTAGTTTGACTTTATTGCTACCGGGTCCAGATTTTGGTTCCAGAACTTGGTATAAGTTAATTAATGTATTTATTACTTGTCTACAAAATTTGGTGCAAAACGGAGTTGATTTGACGTGATTCAGACGTCCGATTGAAAAATTAAAAGTTCTTAAGTATCATTTCAAATTTCATTCGTTTTGGTGTCCGATTCATAGTTCTAGGTGTTATTTTGGTGTTTTGATCGCGCAAGCGAGTTCGTATGATATTTTTGGACTTGTGTGCATGTTTGGTTTGGAGACCGAGGGCTCAGGTGAGTTTCGGATAGGCTTCGGAGTGGTTTTGGACTTAGGAAAATAGTTGGTGCAATCTAGTTCTGGTGTACCCTCTGATCTCGCAATTTCGAGGTCAATGTTCGCATTTGCAAATGTTCATGTCCTCTGTTGGGTTCACAATTGCGAATAAGTAGTTCGCATTTTCGAAGGGGTACTGGGGGAGAGTGGTTCGCATTTGCGATCAAACGGTCGGCAATTGCGGAAGTCAAAGTTTGCATTTGCGAACAAAACCATCACATTTGCGATGACAACACAGATGGGGAATCTTCACATTTTCGAAGGCTTTCTTGCATTTACGGGGTTCGCAATTGCGAACCCCAGGTCGCAATTGCAACATCTGCACCTGTACAAAAGAAGGGAAAGACGGGATTTTAGCTCATTCTTTCAAATTTTCAACCCTAAACACGTTAGAGGCTATTTTTTCAAAAGCTTTTCTTCCTAAATTTATTGGTAAATGACTCTAATCTACTTTCTTTCAATTACCCATTACATTTCATAAGATTTCCACATCAAATCTTGGTTTCCCATGGTAGAAAGTAGGGATTTGGGTAGAATTAGGAATTTTTGCAAATTTGAGATTTAGACCTTGAATTGAGGTCGGATTTCAAATTGAATTGCATAACGGGGCTCGGGGGTGAATGGGTGATCGGGTTTTGTAACGACCCGGCGGGTCATTTTTGGAATTTATGCCCCGATCCCCTATTAACTGCTTCCCCTGAGTCTATTTCTGATATTTTAATTTGCCGGGATGTTCGGTTTTAAGTTTCGGAGAGTTTTGGGACACTTAGTCCCTAAATGAGAGCTTAAGTGTTGGAAAGTTGACCATAGTCGGAACAGCATGAAGACGGCCTAGGAATGGAAATCCGATGGTTCCGTTAGGTGATTTCGGGTTAAGGGGCGTGGTCGGATTGTATTTTGGAGGTCCGTAGATAATTTAGGCTTGAAATGCCGAAAGGTCGAATTTTGAAGTTTCCAGTTCGATAGTGAGATTTTGATCCGAGGGTCGGAATGGAATTCCGAGAGTTGCAGTAGTTCCGTTATGTCGTTTGGGACGTGTGTGCAAAATTTCAGGTCATTCGGACGAGATTTGATAGACTTTTTGATCGAAAGCATATTTGAGAAATTTGAAGTTCTTAGGCTTGAATCCATGGATAATTTGAGGTTTCGATGTTGTTTTAGGTGTTTTATGGATTGGTACAAGTTTGGGGAGTGGTATTAGACTTGTTGGTGCCTTTGGTTGAGGTCCCGGGGGGCCTCGGGATGATTTCGGATGGTTGGCGAGAAATTTAGAAGATGTTGCAGCTGTTGTATTTTTGCTGCTTCTGGTATTTTCGCATCTGCGGTAGGGGGACCGCAGATGCGGCGCCGCAGAAGCGGCTAAGTCGCCGCAGAAGCGGCTAAGTCGCCGCAGAAGCGAAACTTGGGAATTCTCTCAGGAACCGCAAATGCGGTGAGTTTTTCGCAGAAGCGCAACCGCTCCTGCGGTTAGAGTTTCGCAGATGCGGAATCTGGCTTTTAAATGAAAGTCGCAGATGCGACGTAGTTTTCGCAGAAGCGGGACCGCAGATGCGGTCCCAGGGCCGCAAATGCAGGAATCGCTGGGCAGAACACATAAATAGTTGTCTTTGCGAAATTGAGCCATTCTTTCACCATTTTCATCCGGGTTTGAAGCTTTTGAGAGAGATTTTTGAGGAAAACAAAGGGGAATCGCTTGGAGGTAACGTCCTTGACTTCATAACTCGTTTTTATGTGATTAAAGACCTAATTAGTGATGAGAAGTTTGGGAAAAATAGGTAATTAGGGCTTGAGTTTAAGAGGCCTTTAAATGAGGATTTGAGGGGTCATTTGGACTCCGATTTCAGTGTTCTTGTTATGTTTAGACTCGTGAGAGTACGAGGTTTCTGAAAATGTAAATTTTATCCAATTTTGAGATGTGGGCCTGGGGGGCATTTTGGTCATTTTACCTAATTTCGCGTATTAGCTTAGAATTTAAGTATAGAATCAGTTACTTGAAGTTTTATTTACATTATAAAACTTAATTGAATAGATTTGGGCCATTTGGAGTCGGATACTCGTGGCAATGGCGTGGTTTCGGGTTGACTTGCACTTGTTCGAGATAAGTGACTTGTCTAACCTTGTGTGGGGGACCTTTCCCCTTAGGATTGATATTGTGGTAATTGAAATGCCTCGCATGTGAGGTGACGAGTGCGTACTTGTGCTAATTGTTGGAAATCCGGTTTTCATTAAAAATAGCCTTGAATTGTGTTCTTCCTTTTCTTGCTTACACTGTTTGGAAACTAAACCTGCTGTAGCCTAGAGAAGCATGTCTACTTGACTAAATTGCTCTATTTGCCTTAACTGCGTTAATTGTATTACGTGAACCATGCTAGGTTAGGATTACCTACTTCACTTTGATATGAAATTTGATTGGATTGAATTCCTTGTTGTTGCTGCGTATTTACTTTGGGACTACGGGACGGTATCCCGGGAGCTCCCCTGCATGTTTACTTTGGGACTACAGAATGGTATTCCGGGAGATCCCGCTGCACTTTTACTTTGGGACTACGGGACGGTATCGTGGGAGCTCCCCTGTATGTTTACTTTGGGACAACGGAATTGCATTCCGGGAGATCCCCTGCACATTTATGAGTTGGACTACGGGACTGCACCCGGGGAGATCCACTGGATATGATATTTATATTTGGGGACTACAGGACGGTATCCTGGGAGATCCCCGATTGTTATCTTGGAGCTGAGCTGTATCTCTTACTGTGTTTTACTTGCCTCTGTGATAGTTGTTGCTGTCCTTTATATCTTGTGTTACTTATTTACACTGTTTATTTCACATTGTTAAACCTTATATCTTATTTAACCTCAGTAGGGCCCTGACCTTCCTCGTCACTACCCAACCGAGGTTAGGCTTGGCACTTACTGAGTACCGCTGTGGTGTACTCATGCCCTTCCTGCGCATGTTTTTCATATGCAGATCCAGGTACCTCTACTCAGGCTTACCATTCTTGAGGCGAGGCGATTCTACGGGACTTCGAGGTATATCTGCCGCGTCCGCAGACCGAGGAGTCTCTTTCTATTCTTGCATCTAGTATTTAGCCCTTCTGTACTTTATGTTCTTGATTAGTCATTCCGAAGATTAGAGCTATGTAGTGTTTTCTCAGCTTGTGGATCCGTGAGTTTCCGGGTTTTGAGATAGTGTATCAGATTTGAAAGTTGTGTGTATATGCCGAGCAGCGTTTAAATACTATTTCTTTCAGTTACTTGGCTTTTGATTATTTATTCCGCAAGATTAGTTTGTTTCCGCATTTGTTAGGCTTACCTAGTCGTAGAGACTAGGTGCCGTCACGATAGTTCACGGAGTGCGAACTGGGGTCGTGACAAGTTGGTATCAGAGCTCTAGGTTCATAGGAGTCATGGATCACAAGCCG